GTAATTCTGTGTTTAACTTTTTGAGAAACAGCCAGACATTGATTTTACATTCCAAGCAGCGGTGTATGAAGGTTCTAGCTTCTCCACATCCTGTCCACACTTGTTATTGTCCATCTGTTTGATTTTAGCCATTCTAGTAGATGTGAAGTGGTATCTCACTGTGGTTTCACTTTGCATTTCCCTAATGACTAATGATATTGCGCATCTTTTCATGTGCTTAGAGGCCATTTGTATATTTCCTTTGGAGAAATGTTTATTCAAATTTTTAAAAAATCAGGTTATTTGTCTTTTTATTGTTGAGCTGTCATTGTTCTTTATATATTCCAGATTCGAGACTATTATCAGATCCATAATGTGCAAATATTTTCTCCTGTTCTGTTGTCTTGATGGTGTCCTTTGAAGAACAAAACATTTTTAATTTGATAAAGTCTAATTTATCTATTCTTTTTTGTTGTTGTTGCTCATGCTTTTGGTGTCATAGCAAAGAAATCATTGCCTAATTCAAGGTCATAATTGTTTATGTCTATGCTTTCTCTTAAGAGTTTTATGGTTTTAACTCTTATATTTCAGTCTTTGATCTATTTTGAGTAAATTTTTGTATCTGTTGTGGATAGAGGTCCAAATTCATTTATTTGCATGTGGATATCCAGTTGTTCCAGCTCATTAGTTGAAAAAAACTATTCTTTCCCCATCGAAGGTCTTGGCACAATGCTTTAGACTTTTAAAATGTTATTCTCTGTAGGACCTAGCATAGTTCCTCCTTTTACCTGGTAAGCAGGCAAATATGTTTGTTGAATTAAAGTGGGATTCTGAGTAATTGAAGCTCCTTTTTTTTTTTTAAATGTAAGAAGCAAAACTTTTACAGACAACTTACTGAAAGAAGAGAAACTTTTTTCAGGAGCTTGGGTACATGGCTGTGCAAGAGAGTCCCCATTTACTCCTGGATTGGACTAAATCAACTTGGGAATACCATCAAACTGCTTAACCAATGAGGGTTTACAGTTCGTTGTTTTGGTTTCCACTTTCTGGGGTGCAGGATTGGGCTACCAAAGTGATTCTTTCCCAAGAAGACATTGGGAAAGTGTTCTATACTTTCCAATGCAGGTGAGTTTACCAGGGCGACACAGGGTGTGGGCACCATTACCTGCCACCCTGGTGCCCCAGCAGAGCTCACTGATCCATCCTGGCCCTCTTTCCTGCCACGCCCACAGAGGATCGCCCCATCTTCCCCAACACTGGACTCGAGGTATAGCTGGCACTCAATGTAGATGGGAACAAAAATGAAACTTGCTTGCCTAACCCTGCAGAATCAAAATGAATCCCAAAGGTAATATGGCAAGTTATGTGATTATGTGGCTCTCGCAGAGAGCCCAGCAAGTGAACAAAGGCTTTTTTTTTTTTAATCTTAAGCTTTTTCTTTTAATGGGGTTAAATTATGAATTACACCGTATTTGATTTTCCAAGTTCACACTAGTTTGCATCGGGCAAATTTGTTCGTGATATAATGTGCTTATTATGTAATACCTGGTTTGGATTATAATATTTTGGGTAGGATTTTTGCTTATGTGCTAACGTATTTCTTATTCTCCTCTTTAAGAAAAGGTATCCATTTAGCCTCGCACACAGTAAGAAGTCCAGATGTAGATGAGCTTGAGGTTCTCTTTCTCTGAGGTTCTCGGGCTCTTCTACTCTCTGAGAATATGGACTGATTTTTTTCAGTCTGTTGTCAGAGACCATTGCCTACCCTATCTCTTCGGCCTTCCCACAAAACACCTGGATGCTTAGCACGGCAAGTGAGTGAATCCCAGGGCTGCACTGGTACAGCCGTCACCAGGCACGGGGGATCAGGGGACACCGCCCAGGAGAGAGTCGGTGACGGTGGCATCCCCTTCAGCCTGGCCAAGGTCACCGTGGGCAACACCCGGCCTCTGAGAAGGGGCACCATGCAGGCATGCTGCTCCTCTGCCGGCTGCCCTGCGTTGGCCCGAGGTGGCAGGGGTGGGAAGTGCCAGCCAACACAGAATGAGGGGGAGCCCAGGTAGCAATTAAGTGGGGATAAATAGCCATTACCAAGGAGGCCTGACAACTGCAGGAGACCGCAGTCTATGCACGAGCAACCGCTTATTTTCCCATTGATCCTTGGCGGGATAGGACCCTGCCTTCTGCAGTGCCCCAAATAACAGGCTCACAAAGCCCAGTGCTAAGAGGTGGCATCTGAGAAGAATCCGTTCAGGTCTTCCTGTCTGTTTCATCTTAAGGCCTGCCAGAAGAAGAGATAATTACGGGTCTGAGATTTTGCTCCATCACAGACAATGGAGGGATCAACAGATGCCTCTCTGAAATCAGATTAAAAAATTTTTAAAAGGTTTTGGCTCAGGAGGATACCAGCATTTCCCACAGGTTTCAATTGGATGAAAACGGAAAAGGAGAGATAGGGAAGAAAGAAAGGAAGGGAGGGAGGGAGGGAAGGAGGAAGGACGGGAAACCTGAATTCTTAAACATGGAAATGATCCATGGGGAGGGTGCTAAACACACTCTGCTTTCCCATTGTCTCCACTGAGATATCTTGCCCTTGGCCTGTCGCGTCACCTGAAGGCTCCTCTTCAGGACTCATTCCATTTGGAGTCGAGAATCCCCCATAATCCTTTGAGGTACTGCCCACCCCAGCTAACGATGATCTGATTCCTACCACCATGCATCACTTTTGCCTATTTTAGAACTTCCTATAAAAGGAATACATAGGGGGAGGCGGTGGCTCAATCGGTTAAGCGTCTGCCTTCGGCTCAGGTCGTGATCCCAGGGTCCTGAGATCGAGTCCCGCATCGGGCTCCTTGCTCAGGGAGGAGCCTGCTTCTCCTTCAGCCTGCCGCTCCCCCTGCTTGTGCTCTCTCTCTGACAAATAAATAAATCAAATCTAATAAACAAACAAACAAAAAGGAATACATAGGGGCATCTGGGTGGCTCAATCAGTTAAGCGACTCTAGAGTCTCTTTCCCTTTCTCCCTCTGTGCCTCCCTGCGCCACTCCCCTCTCTCCCTCTCCAAAAAGAAGAAAGAAAGAAAGAAAGAAAGAAAGAAAGAAAGAAAGAAAGAAAGAAAG